AAATTTTAATGATTCGTATATGTGCATACACATCAGATGGTGGAGGTTTCAGATTTCTGAGTGCGATTGTGGCCGGTATTTAATTCGCGTTTCGTTTAAATCAAATTACGCCCGAGCACCTTATTAATAATAATAATAGGGGCGCATTAATTCAGTCGTGCGAGGGGGGGCAAAAAACGTCAAGGACGTGCGCTTGCTTGGATCAAGTACACACACACACACATGAATTACGTGAGTGAAGGAAGGAAGGAATCGATCTCGTTTAGAGAGCGATAATCGGTGATATTAGGAGCGCGCACACCCTTCCAAAACTAACGAGCGCTAATTCGCATCTGATAATTGCATAACATCGTTTATTGCCATTCAATTTACTTATTCGGGCTAAACCTGACGTCCGACGTTTAAATTACCACCGTAATACGCCCAAAATTACAGCCCTTCATCGAATTACGTACAAATTTTTTTGTTGAAACATCGTGTTTTTTTTTTGAGCGCTCGAGCTGCAATTATAATATATACTGTAAACCAAAAATTGGACGCCTCTTACATGAAATTTATTTCAATATACAAAGTGAAACGTGTACTTTCACGTACATTCCATGCAAATTAAGTATGTTGTTTATAAATACCTAATTGATAAAATGCATAAATAATCGAATTAACATACATTATCCAATGTGTTAAAAACTTTATCAAATTAAAGAATATTAAAATTCATGTTATTATAATAAAAAATGTTCAAAATATTTTGTTCAGTTCATCAATTAGTCCGATTTCAAACATTTTTTGAGATATTTGTTGAACCAATTATCCGCACTATGCGAGGTATTGCTGTCCTGAAAAAAACTAACAATTTTATAGAAATGAACATCGCTATCAAATTTGATATCTAGCAGAAATTCACAATCGTTTTATACAAACTATTTATTATTTTTTATATTATTATGCCCTATCGGCATGTGGGTGGTGGTCATAGGTTCAAATCCTGATCAAACCATGCCCTTTGTGAGCCCTCTCGGTGCTTGCAGCAATGGAGCCATCGTTCATCACAGATGGACAGTCAAATGAATGAAGTTCAGCGTATGGACCTTCAGCCAAGTCGATGGACAATGACAGTGTTAACGATAGCAGCAGATTCACAGTCAAAGGAAATAGTGGAATCGCAGAGCATCAATATACTACAACACTCAATATATTAATTGTCTTATATGTTTACCGTTTGATATTTTTGTTGACAAAATTGCTATATATTGCCTAGCTCAGTTGCAAAATTAGTTAAAATCTGAAGATGTTTATTCTTGCTGCAAATCAATTTTTGTTCAAGTATTTTCAAGTTTTATAATCCTAGATCATAACTCCAGTTTGTATATAATATATAATGTATCTTTCTTGATATCTAAATTAGTTACAGTATTTGATTTTTATACCCAAATGCTCAGAAATTACAAAAAAAAAACTATTGAAAATCTGATTACTGTTACTTAAAATTTGACAACGTATTAAAAAGATATCTACTACAGTCAACCCTTCTATAGGCGGGGAAAAAATATCGTCTGTTTCAAAATTAACAAATTTGAATGAAGAAAGGGAAGAAACTTTAGATGAGGAAGATCTGATGGAATTAATTAAGGATTAGGAAAGCGAATGGTTGCTAAATCTCGATTTACAAGATGTGAAAAAAGGGCTAAATTTGGTTCTTTAGCCAAATATAGCCTTCATTTCATTCAAACTGATGGGTACGTTATAGGAGGGTTGACTGTATTTATAATTTTATTTAAAATTAAATTATACTTTCATTAATTCTCAATATATAATGTGATATAAATTTTCATATAGAGTTTCATAGATTTTGAGAAATATTTTGAAATTAAGAAATGTTTGCACTCAATATTATTTCAAATTTAATATAATAGACATATGAGATTGACACAATTATTTATTTTATACATTAACTATCAAAATTAAAGATTATTACAAATATTATCAATGTTTGATATTGCAATATTTTAAATTGCTAATTACTAAATTATTAAAATTTAGTTTGTATTTTAGTAAATAGAAGTTTATTTTTATTTATATTTTGATGATTATATAAACAGGGTAAAAATGAAAACATGGATGAAATGAAAATGTAAAATCGTTGAAATAATGAAAAAATACACAAATGAAGTGAATGTTGTGTGTGAGATAGAGAGAAAGAGAGATAAAATAATAATGGGAAGTGAGTGAAAATTGGAAAAAATAAAAATAAAAACAGGACGCTTTTCAATTAATGCTCCAAATGGAAAATCCTTCGCTAAACCATGCACTATTTCACCGACACCAGCTTCGAACTGTCACAAAAGCCAATCGGCCAGAGCAGCTTCATGCAGACATCATTCAGATGCACCGACAATACCGAGCTCGTCGCTTGCTCTGAATGAATTCCAATTTACGCGATAAGGACGAGCGAGGAGTGTCTGCGCTATACGCGATATCCGTCAAACCCAGAACCCCTTTATGTCTATATTACGTCTACCTACCAAATTACTCAACCATTTCAACGCAATTCCAAATATCTACACAACTATACAACTTTACATATATATATATGTAGATGCATGTGTTTGAGTATAAGTATTTATAACATGCAGATGCTGACCATCTACTTAATCTCAATCTATGTGCTAATTAAGGCGGAGCGCGATTTCGCAGTGTCTGTAATTAAAATAAAGTTTCCAGAGTATTTTAAAGGAGACGAAGAAGGCGAAGAGCGACGCGCCGGAAGTTAATTTGGTTTGGGTTGGGATCATGTTGGATGATGATGAGAACGGATCGTTATTAGGCGAAGGCAGTTTTGGGATGGATGAAGGAGGATGGGTGTATGAATGGATAGATGGGTGGGTGGGTTGGTTCGGTGGATGGATGGTGGCAGAGATTAGCTCGCAGTCGCGGAACTGTCGAAGTGGAACGACGCCTCCGTTCTGCGCCGCGACGCCTGGTCTCGCACGATAGAGGTCTCGGGGGAGACGCTTTGTGCCGCCAAATCACTCATTAAAACTCCACCCTCCATTTCGGAACGAAACCGCGATTACAGACGGCCCGCCCCGACCCAAACCAGGGGATGAACGTTTTAAACGCTTCCCTCTTCGATCGACTCGCCAAGCGCCACCCCCACACGACGCCAAACTTTCATCGCGCATTATCCAATTACTTTTTTTTTTACTTCTTTTCAATTTCTCTCACAAAACCCCCGCATTAGTTGAATAATAAAAACCTAATAAATTATATCAATTAATTGTTGAATACAAGAATACCGCGAAACTTGAAATATAGCACTATTAAAGCTTTAAATATCTTTAATTTAATTGATTATGATATGTGTAGGTTGTAGTCTTCGAGAAATACGATCAAATCTATTGACTCTGCCAAATTAATATTTTTTGCAATTTTCATAGTTTATTACAAGAAATTCACAAAGGGTACTGCGCACATTACAAATCGTGTATATTTATTATTAATTATATTGTTAATATGTTCTGGTTGTGGTTTTTGAGAAAATGTAATGAAAATGCATTTTCGTAATTTAATAAAGTAAAGTTTAAATTTAAAAACTTATTATGGTTAATAAATGAATGCAACATATGTACACTGTACTCGGTTCAAAATGTATACATTTTTATACCACTGGTTGTGGTTTTCGAAAAATAAAGAACATATAGACAGTGTTTTTACAAAACTTTTCAATAAAAATGATTCATTTGCTAATTTTTCAATAGAATTCAATATAGTTATCAAAAAAAAATACGTAATCATGTAAAAACTCTCATCATACATCGTTTTATTCAATTAGCTTGCATAATAGGTAAACCATAAAGGTTATAAATATGAAACTGCAAACGTTTTAAACCCCAAATATTTTACTTTAATTATTATTGGAATTATATTCTAGTTGTAATTTTCAAGAAATGTAAAAATACATTTTTTCCAAGAATATTTACTTTCTCTAAACTGCTATAAAGATGATACTATATACTTTATAAGGCTTATACATTTACCATTAACTACACATCAATATGTATACTATTCGAATACATTCGAATTTCTATATCATTCAAGTTGAAAGTATTTTTCATGAAATTTGTCACTACGCGCCATCTGTATTTGATAACTATATTTACTTTGTATATTGAATTGCAGTTATTTAATTGATAGTGTGAACAGTGCTTATTTATTTTTTTAAATTATGTTATCGAGGTTAACTGGATCCCATTAATCCAGTTAGACGAAAGACTCTAATAAGATAAAGTATTATTTAAACTAGATTATCAAAGAGAATAATTACGTTCTGAATGAATATGTTCGATGCACATTTTAATTTAATTGTTAATGAAATAATTATTTATGTTTTGAAACTTTCATTAAACTATAATAATAAATAATTAAAATTAAATTCGATAATTATTAGTTCAGTTCTTATAAAATCCTAGTAGATGGCGCTACTAACTAATCATAATTTTAACATCGTTAAAATGCAGTTAAATCACTTTACAAATGGAGGTAACAGCTTTCCAAGAAGATTAATTTAAATAATTATTTGATATAAATCTCTTTATTTAAAAAAAATAAAATAATTATTTTATTACAACTCTATTGTTGCCACCTTATATCTCAGTTAAAAAGTCACAATTTTCTTATTAGATTTTAACTTTCCAGTACATGCTTAGCTTTCATTTTAAATCGTGTAAAAGTACTATCATAATTATATATGTCGAATGCAATAATTAAGTGTCGCCATCTTTCGATGAAACTATTAAGAGAAATGTAATTAAATAAATTGTGCACATTATTGTATTAAATATATTTTTACATATTTCAGAAAAAAAAAGTTACCAAATTAAGAAACCTATAGAATAGCTTAATTGTATGAAAGAAAATACAAACAATGAAAATGTATTAATGTTATATTAAAGACATACCAATGAAATATATCAATTTTGTATTAAATGTATTTTCAGATATTAAAGAAAAAAATTACCATCTTAAGAAACTTATAACATAAATATAGCTTAATTGTATGAAAGAAAAGAAAGGTGTGTGTATTTCTAATAACAAATACGCGAAACATACTCATTCATATCCATGAAATATTGAATTAAGCATTAGCAGTTGCTTTGGACGCGGCTGCTGCCGGTAAATCTCCCTGCGATTTTTCCATAGGGACGACAAGATTTAATGCCTGAAATTAACTCAAGTGTTAAAGAAAAGTAATTGGAATAACAATCAATAAATTACCTCCTCAACCTGCTCTTTTGAGAACATGTGGAAAAATTCTCCAGGTGTCATGGTCATAACTTCAACGTTTGAGGAGTTGAGTTTCTCCTCCATGACCTGCTTCAGGATCGTCAAAGAGGCTGTAGTAGCTTCCTTGAGCGTCATACTGCGATGATACATTTCCTGCAAACTCTGCTGAGCTCCCTCAGAACCTGAACCAATAGCCTTAGCATCAAACTGCACAAAAGTACCTTAAATTTTAAAAATAAACAAATATAGTTATTGAAGAGAATTCATGTAGATTAATAAGTACCAGATGGGTCCATGTGATAGAGCTGTGGTCCCTTCTCATCAATACCAGCAAACAAGATGGCAACTCCGAAAGGCCTAGACATGGCTGAGCCATCATCATCAGAATCACCAAATTGGATAGCCAAGTTGGAGACGGCCTGTGCACAGGACTCCACCGTCATGCGCTCGTTATATGTGAACCAATGGTTTTGGCATTCAATGCGAGCCCTTGAAAACATAATATTCATTGTCACATACAATAATACATTAAAATTTTCATAATTTTACCTATCAATCATTGTACGGGAATCAGCCATAAGCCCAGATACAGCACAGCCAATGTGTTTATCAATTTCAACAATCTTTTCGATGGTGTTTGGTTCCATGAGTGTAGAAGTGATACGCTTCTCTACAGCAAGCACCACACCTTCACTGGTGCAGATGCCAATTGCAGTTGAACCTAACTTGATGGCTTCAATAGCATATTCGACTTGGAAGAGTCGGCCTTCCGGCGAGAAGGTGTTTACACCTCTGTCGTATTCGCTTCTTGTTAAAAACATCTGAAATCAGAGGTTAGTTTATGACAAAGCAAAAACAGTTTCGTTAAGGAGAATTCAGAGGTTTCGACGAGCTGTGCTCTAGGTAATAGCTGATAGATTAACAATACCTTAATTTAAATTTGATAAATTCAAACGGGAGTAGTAATTAATATAAAATTGACCAGCAATGAACGGCAAATTCTGTTCACTTCTGTGGCTGTTTTAAACAGTAACAGTACTGCCAACCATTCTTGAGAATGAATAGACAAATTGAGTTCGTACTTTTCATTTTATATGTTTGCATGAGTGGCTGTCATGTGAATATGTTAGTTGATTATTGTTAAAGTGTTTTTAACGCTATTGTGTTTCAGACCATTTCAGACATAACCATCCATGCACAACAGCAACAACATGGCTTTAAATGTTGTGATTGATCATTATAACAACACCAAGGATAGATCCAAGCTGGTGTTTGATTTAACAGAGTCGTACTGCATCAAAAATATAACCAGACATGTGCTGCCGTAAGTCTTAAATTATCACTTAATTGAATTAGTTTAATTCAATTATTGCACACTTAATGAATTGTTTTATTACTTGATTTAGGTTAAATATTACGGTGGGAGAAGTGAATAACATTGGGAAGCTGTTGCAAGAGTTATGCCAGGAGGAGAATCTGGATTGGACTGCAATCCAATTGCTATTGAAGTGCTTGAGGAATGGATCCATTTTAAATAAACACATTCAAAATTGTGTTGTCGATAATGAGAGTATTGTGAAGAACATGCAGCAGCTGTTGCAGGCTCAACAGAAGCTGCAAACAGATTGTCTTAAAGCTTTGGTTATATTCATGCTAAATGTGACTGTTGATAATGGATACTCTGGAAAGAAAATTTGGCTTGTATTCAAGAATGATTTGATGGATCTTCTGGCTAAAGATCTGTGTGTGTCATTCACTTTAGCAGTGATTTACAATGTGCTGGCTAGGAACAAGCAGATTGAACCATCGCTGGAATTGATCAATGAGGTTCTCAGATTGATGGAGATTGGCTTTGATTCAGAATATATTTTATTCCTGCTGGAGCAATTTATAACTTATATGCATAAGTATCACAGAGCTTTGAGACCTGAGTACAGGCAGACTGTGCTGCTTGTGTTGAAGTATTTGATTCCAAAGGAGGACTTGGAAGTTCCCAAAGAGTATGTTCTGCTCTTGGTGGATGACTTCAAGAAGAAGTCTGATTGCATTTTGAAGACGGTTACCGAATATTTGGACCAGATTGAGCCTGCCGAAGTGGCGCATTTGTTGGACGTTCTGGTTTCGTTAAGCTGCATTGAAAAGTACTTGAGTTACATTCATAACGACAGGAGTTTCCTGATCAATTGCGCTTTTCTTCTGAAGAGCATGCACTTGGCTGGAAAGAACGGTCAAAATAAATTCACTGCGATTTCTAAATTATCGGACGAAGCCAAAGCGGATAATAATCATCCGGCGTTTGGGTTCAAAGCTTCAGTCATCAGAATACTTGGAAATTTGGCGTGGAAATCGAGAAGCAACCAGGATGAGGTTTGTTTAGAGTCAATTTAGAGATAACATAAACATCATTAACTCATTTACTATTGCAGCTGAGAGAATTGGAGTGCATTCCGTTACTTCTGGACTGCTGCAACATCGACGAGAGAAATCCCTGTATCCTTAATTTATACATTACGTTATGAATTTGATGTATCCTTGAAAACGTAAATTAACCTTAACTTTCATTTTATTCAGTCATTATGCAAATGGTCATCTTCGCCATAAGGAATCTGTGCGAGAAGAACGAGTTGAATCAAGCCTTGATCAACGCGATGAACAAGAAAGGTACCGTCGATTCGGCTACTTTGAATAAACTTGGTATCACCTTGGACGATGGAAGCAACCCGATAAGAATCGCCCCATTCAATTCAGCCTAGATAAATTAGCTATTAAAAAAAATCTATCTATATAATCACAAGCAACTTTATTTAGTTATACTTTAATTTCCGGGGCCAATTATTTTATGAATTTATCAAATGTGATATATTATTTAACTTTCGAATAATTATCTAAATTTAGCTATAAAAAGAAAAAGTCCCTGCATGAGAAATGTTTTCAGTTTAAAAACATGTAGTTTGTAATTTTCCAATCTCGAAGATTGTATTGTATCAAGTAGCCAAGCTACGACTAGTTTAATCGCTTCCTTGCTTCCAGATTGATGCAAGGAAGGTAAATATAAATTGATGTTGTATATATGTTTAGTTCGCAGGCTAGTTTATCTCTTCAAGTAGATTACAACTAAAGGTTGGAATAGACTGAGTATTATTTGTAAATATTAAATGCGTGTATATAAGTAACTAATTAAGTAAGTTTAAGGTTTAAAGTGGGAAAGGAGGAAAATACCAGAGCACCAAATATACATGGTAGTACAAAGATTAAAAAGAGTTCTAGAATTTTCTTTCAAAAGAAATCTAAAAGTTTAATGTAGGATATAAGAGTAGATCGTTAGATGAGTGTTCGTAAATGTACCTGTCCGTTAAGCTTAGATCTGTATTACTACGTGTCTATGAAAGTTTAAACAAGCATTTAGTGTAGTTGTAATTAAACCTAGGCATATAATACAACCTAGTTTAAGCATTAGACAGCTCTCGCATTGCTGTATAATAATAATATTTGAGAAAGTTTAAAAATATATATATATGTGTAATTGATGTAAATAGTATGTAGCTGTTTAATAATAAATGGATAGTAGGAAAATTGATGAATATTTCATATTTTTTAATAAATTAGTTTTTTATTTGTAAACAAAAAGCTACTATTTTTCTAATTTTGTCTCTAGTAAGGAAGAGTATAGCTTTTTAGACTGGTAATGTCATCTGGTAGTAATTTGCAACATTTAAAGCTGACGAAACTAGAATTACTTTCAATATTAACAAATTTAGGCACGTAAAAAGTATTTATGATGATTGTAGTTATAAGATTGCTTGAAATAATGCAATTAAAATGATAAAAGTTACAAAGAGAATATTGTTACTGAGATTTAAATAAATTTAATTTTATTCTAATTATATTCTATTTATAGTTGAATATAAATATTACAAATTAATTTAGATGCGATAAGAAATAAATATGTGGAAAAAAAATTTGTTATGTTTACTTTTAAATCTATTGGAAATTGGTCATTCATGTGATGCAACAGTTTCTATTCAATAGTTTAGTTCTTTTGTACTTATAGTGGCAATTATCATGTACCCAAGGTATTGAGTTTCCTAGATAAAAAAAAAACCCTCCTCTATAATACGATACAAAAGACACGAAACACTGGCAAATAATGATGGATTTTCCTTCCTCCGTGAAATGCGAGATGACCGTTTGCGGTTTCGTGACCCATATTCGTTGCTTTCGCCATTCAAAACGCTCACTCATTCATCCAAACAGAAGCAGAAAAGAAAACCTCCTCCTCCTCCTTCTTTTGCTTCTTCTTTTTCTTCTGGATGCCCGATGTCAACGGACTTCAACGGATTCCATTTGTAAAAATGCAACGTGAAATACGTATAATGGCGTTTCGCTAATTAAGGTAATGCGAAAAGCTCGTGGCAATAAAAAGTCCGGATAATTTTCGCATTCGCTAAAAATGGCATCTCGGCAAACGTTAAACTGCCTTTCGTGGTTTCTAATTATAAAGTTAATTAAACTGCGGCAAACGAACAAACGTTTTGTTTATGCATTTTCTAACGAAATAAAATAATCGCAAACTCTTCGCGTTATATGGTATTTCAGGAATTGCACTTCCATTCGAATCACCTGCATATGTTTATTCAACTATTTCATTTAATTCAGATAAGTTGTTTCGATTTAAAGACAATCTTATTCTAGTGAACGTAAATATATTAATGATTACGGCTCTATTTTTGCCACCTTCGTATTCAATTTTCATGATGCTACCCAAATATTATAATAAAGATTTTTTTAATGAACGATGTAGGCAACACTGAATACACTGTGCCACATGTTTCAGTTCTCGGTCCTACAGTGCTACCTCGGTGTAAATCCTTAATCTCTTCCAGATCCTTGGACTTATACCAAACAGGAGGTAAACTAAAAAGATCCCATAAGAAATAAAGGATTTGTTTAAATCAACTTAAACATTATTTAATACTAAAATTCATAAATACGAAAACAATATAACAATAAAAAAAAATGAATATTTAACAAACTTTACTTTTTCGTTATTGTCTCTTTTCCCTACTTGGAACTGTTTCAGGAATATTAGGTTTGACGTTTATCTTTCTAAGGAACATTGCTTCTGCCTTCTCCCCAGGATGTTTCAGAAATGTCACAAAATCTTACCCCTTTTCAAAAACCGTATTTAATCGTATTCCAGACTAAGGTCTTTTACAAAATAGGACGTATATCAAGTTGGACTTATTCCAAAGCGGACGTATATCGAAGTACCACTATATCTGTATCAACATATCACATTTTTATCTTATGAAGATCAGATTTATAATTACCATGATAACAGTCATTCTTGTTGTTTTATTTTGTTATAAATGTTGCTAAAGCAACATGTTTTTTTTTTCTTAAAGTTGTGTTGAAGACGACAATTAGATAACCAAAGCATTTATAACTGTTATGTAAAGGATAAATCGGAATACACAATTATTATTTTTGTAAACTATTATTGAATAAAAGTAATTCCTAAAAATGATTACATTTTTATTGATCAAGTTAATAAATATGTCACTTTGACGTTATATAGTTTTTTTTCTCGTGCTTCGCGTTGATTAACTAGTACTTTATGTTAATATAATCTTATTGTGGTAATGAAATGTGCAGAGCCAGAGACAATATGGGCGGATTCTTGATAAGATTATCTTGTGTGGATGCAAGCAGTGGCTGATCAACCCGCATAACTTCTACATAGGATTCGGATTCTCATTAACAATACAACCAGATGAATCCGCTGATCCTTTGTTGGTAAGTAACATACTTGGCAATAAGAAACATTCTATTACTTATCAATGTCTAATTAATGTAGACAGTTTTGAATTGATCGTTCGTATTGGATTATGAAGATTGTGTGGTGTTAAAAGGTGTTTCATCAAATATTGGTAAACGTTTTATTAATGGCAAACAAATATTTGAAAATAATAAGTTTTTAGTTGACTTAAAGGTTTGAAGTCTTCTCAGTAAATGTATACGAAATGTGCTGACAAATTTAATGTGTTTGAAGTGCGTTTTAATCGCAGCAAATATTCAGAAACAATGTTTGCACGAGCGTGTTTTCACGTCTCCACTAATTAAAATAGAAAAGAATCAATAAGTATTGAAACTATTAATTTAATACAATGTTTTTAATTAAATATTTAAAAGTGGAAGAATACATTATAATAATAGAAGATTTATTTTATACTGAAGTTGTTGTCCTTCAATGAATTTCGCGTTTTGATCACATTTAATCCAAGCTAATGAGATGCTTTTGAATTGTGTTTTTTTTGTTGTTGCTGTTATTGTTGTTGTTTTCTTCTTAAGTATGTGTTTTGGTTTGCGTGAGTTATATGCGAACGTGGTGGTTCCAATGCGGAGAAGAGATAAATGGTCGGATGCTGAGGACGTAAATTACCATTCCGCACTTCGTGCACTTTATAACTTATTATTACCAGTTTCATAAGCGCAACGGTGAGCTGTTGATGGCATGTGTGTAACGCATGATTATCTACCTGCGGAGAGAAGGAGAGAGAGATAGAGTGAGAGTGGGAGAGATGGAGAGAAATGAAGGAGTGAGTGTGAAGGAGCGTTAAAAGTAATTAAACAACGATAAATAACGCATGTTACAATTCATTGTCTTCACGGAGTTGAGCTGCTGAGTTGTGTTCGTCACCGAGCGCCGAAGATGAGACGAAAGGTAGACTCGGTCCGCTCGAAAAGCGGAGAAGAAGATACCCATCTTCCGTATGCTCGAGTCCATGAGGGATTCTTTATTGGTGCGATGATGTGATTACAAAGAGATGTCAGATTCTGATCCTGTGGGAAAGGATGCCTGCCTTAGTTTTTACTATCTCAAACTGCACCTCTCTCTTTCATCCTTCTCTTCCCATTCTTTTCCTCGCGATTGTTAGGTTACGTTTCGCTTGCGAAACACCACCACCATTCATTCACCTTCTTTCGGTCGAGTCTCTTCGGATGGATGCAAAAAGCATACACAACGCATACGCACAGTGTACAATTAAGGTGGCCGTTGGTACTGAAACCCGAGACCTGGGCATAATTCAAAAAAGGATAATTTATTTTATTGTGCGCAAGATTCATTCCTAAGTGTTGTCTTAAATCTGATATTTATCATTATTACAGTCACCCGTCCTTATCGCCACCGCCAATCACAATAAAAAGCGGAGGCAAGATACAAATTACCGTTGGCGCGATTACGAAACCTGTTACATTTAACGAAAAAAAGAAAAGAAAAATAAAGCTCGACCATCCCCCGCCGCACTTGATGACCCTTCCTTCCTTCCTTTCATATCTACGTTATCTAATACACTACTCGCAATGCTCTAAGGCTTCATCTGCAATAACAGTGATACTCATAATGTTTGCTATCATATTTATTTAAACTATTGTCCTATACAGTTTCGCAATTTATTTTCATATGCAATATCTAAAATTATCGAGACTTTCTTTTTACCGGTGAACATTTTAAGTAAAATCCGGTAAATTAACGGTATTTTTTTTAGTTGTAAATTATTTGTGATAGTACTACTATTTATTAGCAAGCAGTAATTTATTTATTAACAATATAAACTGTTAAGTTTTAATAAAAGTTGAAAAAGTTCTTGATCAACAAAGTAAAAGTCATTTAGACTTGTTCGAAGTTTAACGCTTTTTATGGGTTTTATTTGGATTTTCTTCATTTTTATCTAAATTATAAATTAGATTAATTTACCGGTAATTTCGAAAAGGTCAAACTATAAGGCAAGTATAAATTGGTAATATGTATACATGGATATAAACAATATTGAAATAAGAATTTCCATTCAGACTTAAGTACATATTTACCATGCAGAAGAAAAGTCTCTTTCTGTCACGACAAAATATTTGATTTTTTTCATTTTGATTCAAATTATAAATTAAAGTAATTTACCGGTAATTTCAAGAAGGTCAAACTATAAGGCAAGTATAAATTGGTAATATGTATATGTATACATGGATATAAAAAATATTGAAATAAGAATTGCCATTCAGGCTTATGTACATATTTCCAATGCAGAAGAAAAGTCTCTTTCTCTCTCGACAAAATATTTGATTTTTTTTTCATTTTGATTCAAATTATAAATTAGAGTAATTTACCGGTAATTTCAAGAAGGTCAAACTGTCAGTCAAGGATAAATTGGTAATATGTATATGTATACATGGATATAAACTAAGAATTCTCATTCAAACTTGTTCGAATTTCAGTACATATTTCGCATGCAGAAGAAAGGTCCCTTTCTGCATCGACACTTGTGAGTTTCATTATGAGATAATTTAATTTTTCTTTAATTTTATTCAAATTTTAATCAAAATTTACCTGAAATTTCTGTAATCTTATTGGCCGGTTAATTGGTTAACATTTTACCGGTAATGGAAGCCCTAAATATTTCTATATAGTAAATTTGTTACTATAAACTAATGCTATCAATCAACTATAAATTGGCAATACTTTTTATCAAAAATATGA